AGGGGGGCGCCTGGGTGGCTCAGTGGGTTAAAGCCTCTGCCTTCGGCTCGGGTCATGATCTCAGGGTCCTGGGATCGAGCCCCGCATCGGGCTCTCTGCTCCGCGGGGAGCCTGCTTCCTCCTCTCTCTCTGCCTGCCTCTCTGCCTACTTGTGATTTCTCTCTGTCAAATAAATAAAATCTTAAAAAAAAAAAAAGTAAATTGTGTTTTAGCTCATTGTTCTTCTTCAAAGCTCATTTAGATTCTTTTAACCCTACACCTGTGGGCAAATACTTATTCAGCTAAACTAAATTTGAAAAACGTAAGGAAGTGGGTTAGCTTTAGTTATAGGGATATATATCTATATATCTCTATATACATCTTCTTTGAATTGAAGGATCTCCTTTTGAGAAGACAAATCATGGGATTTTCCCCAGAGTCTAGTCTGTTCTTTGTGGAATGGTAGGGAAGCTGTTACTCCTTTTACAGGTTGAGATTTAAAATTTCGTTTATTATTCTTTTTTTACGTAATATGACTACTTTAAAGAATGTAAAGTATGATTTGATTTCCTTCCTAGTTTTTGTTAGGGAAACATTTGAAAACAGAAGAAATAAGAATGTATTTCTTCTAGCCTCTCTTTATTTCTCTTTCTGTCTTATAATCAATTTCAGTAACTTTAACAATAAACAGTAAAAATGATAGAGTATACAAAGCATTGCCCAAGTGAATCCATCACAAACCTGTGTCTGAGAATGGCTTCCTAAGTAGGGGAAATGTGTTTCACACAAAAAGTCCATTTTCTGTTATTGCCTTTTTTATTTGGACTACTAGATGCTATATATTTTAAGGCAATCTTAATAGTTTCCTGTCTTTCACTAACAAGAATGACTTGTCATAATGAACAGTGTAGACACTGTCCATTTGATCCACTCCAGAAAACTGTCTATATGATACAAGAGTAAATCACTTCAATTCCTTTGTGGAATGAGTGGAGTATAAATAAATAAATAAGACAGAAGAATAAAGAAAAAAATGTGGTCAGTTCTATCAGAAGGAAACAAAGGATGGGAATATTTGGAGGCCTGGTTTAATAAAAAATGTGACAAGACAAAGAATTATATATGATAACTCTAAAGGAAAGTAGAATCCTCACTAATATAAAATGTCCATGACATAGTTTCTTCTTTCTTTAAGAAGGAAGATAATTTTGTAGTTTAAGAATAATAATTCTCAATTCTTTGAAGTTGGAGGACCTATATTGTAAAATGACTCCTTATTTACTTTTACCTCCACCAAAAAGAATTGTAATTTTCAGCACTCTTTCTATAATTTCTCACATTTCTAAATCTGAGTAGGAATTTCAGATTCCATGTTAGGGAATGGATTTGTTTTCCAGGGGGTCTTTTTCGTAGTTGTATTGTGTGTCTTAGTTCTATTATAAAGTTTTTGTCTTTTTTTTTTTAAAGTTTATTTAAACTCAGGCTCATGACCCTGAGATGAAGCAAGTCACATGCTCTTCTGACTGAGCCAGCCAGAAGCTCCGTTTTTTTGTTTTGACAAGACTCCAACGTGTTCTAATTTTTCCTTTTCCAATTAGTGTTGTATCTCTTGCAGAATTATACAAAAATGTCATTGCAGGGGCGCTTGGGTGGCTCAGTGGGTTAAGCCTCTGCCCTCAGCTCAGGTCATGATCTCAGGGTCCTGGGATTGAGCCCCAAATCCGGCTCTCTGCTCAGCGGGAAGCCTGCTTCCCCTTTTTTTCTCTCTGCCTGCCTCTCTGCTTACTTGTGATCTCTCTGTGAAATGAATAAAATCTTTTAAAAAAATGTCATTGCATTTGACCACTTAATTTTTTACTATTACTTTCTGAGACTTTTTTGTATGAAATATTAATAGAGCCATTACTTTATGTCACATTTAAGGTTCCAGGTGGGGATGAAAGGTTAAGTTACAGCAAATTCTGGGCTGTATGGAGCTGGAAAGTGGTAAAGTGATTCTCAAAATCAACTCTTAGGATCGGAACTGCGAGAAGGTTTATTTAAAATGGAAATACTCAGGTCCCCTCCTAAATGGACAGAATCAGAATCTCTGGGAGTGGAACTTGAGAATCTGCATTGTTAATAAATTCTCTGTCATTCTAATGAAAACTGAAGTTTAAGGACTGTTGATCATGTGAGGGCCTCAGGGTAGAGAAGTAAGCAATTTATACACCACACACCACACTACCATCTTCAAAATACAATGGTAGCATGAAGGAAAGAGCTTTGTCAGGGCAGCAGTTCCCATACTCCGGGAGGAAGACGGAATGCATACACACACACACACACACACACACACACACACACACACACACACACACACACTCAGAATATACATATATAGAGAATGTACATATACAGTGTATAGAATACACACACACACACACACACACACACACACACACCTTAAAGGCACCAGAACGTGTCTTTTGGGTTTTAGAGAAACCCTAAGATTTATTTACAGATAGAAGACCTGCAATAAATATCTGTCGATCAGGTTGGAGCGAACACCTTTTATAATTCCATTCTACTAATCACCAGCAATTTTTTTTTTTGATGCTTATAGATGGGACAGTAGTATCTATGCCTTTTTCTTTTTTTAACTCAAAAGGATAGTGACTAGAACTTCTCACTCTTCGTTCATAGTGGGGAAGTCGCCCCAACAATAAGAATTAGGTAGAAAAGTAATTTAAGAGCCAATCAGCTCTCTGGAGCAGCTTCAGACGGATTCCCAGGGAAGACTGGCGGAAGATAGGACTTGGTTACCTCATTCAATCGGACAAAGAAGGCCACAATAGTTTAGGGCGGCCAAAACTTCCTTGTGGGTTACCACGTGAGGTGTTAAACCTCGGCGGGGCTGACCTTTGGCTAGAGGTCCTTTAATCGGAAAATTAGGGGTACTATGGATAACTTATTTTTCGGGATCCTGGAGAAACGGTCAGCGGTTGTGGAGGTACCAGTAACCAAAATGGCTGCAAGGCGCTTCAGGCTGCAGATCAGGTGATGCAGCCCCAGTCCGCTCCCTTCCCACCAGCCGCTCCTCCCGCTCCCTTACGTAGGGGTGGGTGTGGTCTGTCCGGAGGCTCTTTTCTGAGGCTAGGAAAACCATAGGACACATGCGCATTTGGGCTCCTCGGGCGCTTCGGGTCTCCTCCCAGCCCATCGCCCCGCCCCGATCTGCCGGGCGGGGCTGGGCCGAGAGTCCAGCAGCTGCTGGCTAGGGCTTCAGGGACTTCCTTGTTGTGAGTCCCGGCCCGGCAGTGTCCGGACTCGTAGCACCGCTGTCCTTACCGGGACCGCTCGTCCGAGTCTAGGTCGCAGCCGCAACCTCAGCCCGTCGGTCCCCCTTTCAGCACAGGTCTTTTCCCCGCACGCCCCGCGCTCCCTAACATGCCCAACCCCAGCAGCACCTCCTCTCCCTACCCCCTCCCTGAGGAAATTAGGAACCTGTTGGCAGGTAAAGAGCTGGGGGAAAAGGGGGCGGGAAGCGCTGCTGGGGCGGGGGCGGGGGCGAGGGGACGGCGAGCCGGTGGGGACAGAAGCATTCAGCGTCTCTGCCCTCCCTCCTCACTCTTCCCCGGTCTCCCGGCCAGTGGGAGCAGGACTGGGAAAGGGGAAGCGGGGTCTGAGAAAGCAGTGGACGTGTGTTGAAATTTGGTTCAGGGGTGCTGGGGAAGCCCCCCTGGATGGGCTACACTAACGGGATCACGACAAGAAGTTCTGTATGCATCGTGAGGACGTCGTGCGTGTGTGTGTGAGAGAAAGAGAGAGAAGGGAGAGGGAGGGGAGAGAGGGAATGATAATGAGTGCGTGTCTGAGAACTGGGAAAGGATCAGAAGTCAAAGAAGTTGTTCTTCGGGGGCCTGGCCAATGGAGGAGAAGGGTGTAAAGATGCAGAAAGATGTCTGAGCTACAGGTGTTAGAGGTTGTGGGACGCAAGGTTTGGTCATTTCTAAAACTCTCTTTTTTCTTAAACGTTCATTGCGCTCATATTTAAGACTTTCAAAGAGGGCCTGATTCTCAAATGCCCACTTGTCTTCAGCCTGAGTAACATGAAAACAAAAAAGGAAGTATGTGTTAAGGTCCAACTTCCTGTGTCACACGATGAAAGTACTTCATCTTTGCACCCTCATCTTCCCCTTTTCAGTTTTAAATGACCATTTATAGGAACTTACGTTAGGAGTTCAAGATGCGGTTCTTCAAAGATATTACGAATCCACTCCTAGTTCATTACTCTGCTAGAGAATGGAGATGTATATTTCTGCACAAAGTAGAGAACACATCTTTTCAGGGTAGCGCAAATCTTACCCATCCTGATGCTCCGGAATTCTTACCATCATTCATTTTGTCATTAGGTCCATCAGAATTCTAGAAACTGAATTTTGATGGTTTTACTTTAGTTGTCTCAAGTATTTATCTTTAAATATTGGTCATGAATAGCTGGATTAGAAGAGTTTCTTTTAGATGTTTCTTACAAGTTGCTTATTTTAACTTTAAAAATTAATATCTAAAATGTGACATTTAAAATAATAAGTTGCTATTATAGTGTGAGACCAAATCTCCTAATATGCTGTTTTGCTCGTTAGCATCATGAATATGATTAAGAGAATAAAATCAATAGCGTATGAATGCAGACAGGCTTGTCTAAACACGATTACAGTGTGATAAATGCATCTGTGGTGGGATAGTATTTTACTCTTAAGAATGCTTATTGTCATTAATGGTACCACTAAGAGAAATATAAAGAACTATAAAGACTGATTTGAGGCAGCTTTTATTCCACTGTATGAGAGTTTCCCACGAGTACTGATTTTTGCTACAGTTAACATTTTCATTGTTACAATGCTGGAGTTTCGTGTTTAGGATACTATTTTCTTTCTTTTTTTTTGAGATTTTATTTATTTATTTGTCAGAGAGAGAGAGAGAGAGAGCGAGCACAGGCAGACAGAGTGGCAGGCAGAGGCAGAGGGAGAAGCAGGCTCCCCATAGAACAAGGAGCCCGATGTGGGACTCGATCCCAGGACGCTGGGATCATGACCTGAGCCGAAGGCAGCTGCTTAACCAACTGAGCCACCCAGGGGTCCCAAGGATACTATTTTAATAGCCAGAACGGAGAAGTGTTTATCATTAAGTACAGACCTCTGGGTGCACACCTTTAAAAAGCTTGAGAGCTCCAACAGGAGGCAGTTTGCTATTTGGGTCCATAATCATACTTTTGTCCATAGTATGACATATAGGTTTTGAGACTCATTATTTTCTGATTCCCATAAATTACAAATATTTCATGTGGCCCTTATGTATATAATTTGCTGAAGGCTTATTATAATATTTAAATTATCTACCAATGCTTCCTATACTTAGCCACTTCTCTCTCTTTAGTCAGTTAATATACCTGCATAATGTCTGAAATGAGTGTTTTAAAAGTCATCTTTAAAAGTCAAGTTTTCAGTATTTCATATTATTAAATCACATGTAAAAACACATAAAGTGTTAAAAACAAATATGAAAATTTAAAATATTAAAATTTAGAAATTAAAATTAATCTTAAAATTTGGCTTATACTTCATATTCAGAGGACATTTTCAAGAGGTATGGATTTGAGAGAATATCTATCTATACTTTTAAAAGAAACTAGTGTTTTTCAGTTTTCTTTTTTAACATATCATTCAAAGGAAGATGTTAAAATTTTGTGTTTGACTGTAATTAAAATCTTTTTGGAGATAGGAAAGGTTTCAAGAATAAGGGTTCTCAGCAGCTTTTTCACATTTTCCATCCAAAAAATTCTGTTGGGATTGTGCATGAGTATTTGCGTAATTCAAGTGTTTTGGGTAATAGTATGTGGTTAGATTTAAGATTACTACAACTATAGAGGGAGAACATTGGTTTGAATTTTAGAGATTACTGCATTACCTGATACTTTCTTTGAAACTAAGAAGGAGGTATTAGTAGTGATGGTTGTGGTTAATAGTTGAGTACTCTGAGAATGCTTGACACCATTCCAGAATTCCCGCGTAAAGATAAGGACCTAAACTTTTCAGGCACTTAAAATCTTTGTCTACAGAAAAAAAGGATGTAAAGTCAAAAGATAATGCCTATCAAAATAATATCGCTCAGACATTTCCCTTTGTGTTCTGTGTGCCTATTACTCAAATCATTGTATGTCCTGTGTTAAATGCTTGACATTTCGACTGCTTGATAGAGATAGGTGCTCAATGTATTCTTATCAGTTTATATTATTTTCTTTCTCTTTATTTTTCTTTCTAATTATAGCAATTTTAGGCTTCCCTTCACTATTTCTTCTCCTCTCTTCTCATTCTTTCCCCTCTAAAACATTCTATAGAAATGCAAAAACCCATAGATGCTATCATTCTTAACTCACACTTAATGATACTCTTGAAAAAGTGGCTATATGGTTTTGACTGTTAGTGATAAATATTTCTCTGGAATCAGTATATTAAATCTTGAAAGCCTATACTTATAAAGGTGTTGTATTATTCTTTTGTTACATGAATAGAAAAAAGGTTATAGATTTTTGTTAAAAGCAAATTTTGAACTGCCTATGCGCTATGGACAATCTTTAATTTTTTTTTTCACAACAATGGAAGAACAGGTTTAGCCTGGATAATTGGAATCAATGGATAATTTCAGATCTTGCCCATTTAATCTTTTCCTACTTCCAAATATTTTGACTAGGACAACAGCGAGAATAATCTTGATTTATGTGAGTTGTTCCTCCAGGCAGGCGAGAAAGTGAGAGGAACTAGAACCAGGGGTTCCCAACCCCCTTCTTTTGTTTAATCATCCTTTGAATACTGGAGTGTTAGTAGTTTGCAATCCGATATTTGTTTTAGGACAACATGTTTGAAGAGAAAAGCTGTAAGAGGATGTAAGTTTCTTTTTATTAAGTTAGAAGATGAAACCAATGCTGATAGGAGAAAATAGTGCTTGTCAGTACTCTGAAAATCTAAACAAACAATAAACAAAGTGGCTATATGGTTTCTCCAAAGTGACCTTGAGGTTTTTTTTTGTTTGTTTGTTTGTTTGTTTTTCCCCACAGGGCAGTCTTGATTAGAAATATTGCATTTTTCCCTACTGGGGATTTCCAGAACATTTTTTTCTTTTTCTTTTTTTTTTAACTTCACACATTAAAATGGATAATCCCTTTAGGGGCACAAGGTAAAGAATGCAATTCCGCTGAAATAGAGGGGGAATTTTTTCAGTGCTAAGAATAGTATGGCTTGATTTCCACCTTTCTTAAATTCCATTTATAATTTGGTCAACATTTTGGGTTTATTTTTCCTATGAGAATTATTTATGGTACATCTAGTGTCCATAATTTGCTTCTGGGGCATTGGCTGAGTATGTAAAGGGAAGAGTGCCACCTACTGAGTCACCAATAGTCACCTACTTCTTTAGCACCTGGATTTTCCTACAGAGTGAGAACAAGCCTGCCTCATTTTGGCAGTGATAACTAATGAGCATAAAGGTGCTATGAGGACATTTGATCTCAAAGTGAAATCAGTTTATCATGCCCCTAAGGTTTTCTCTTCAAGAAATGGGAATATATGTAAATCAAAGGATCAAAAATTTATAATTTCTTATTATGAGTCAAATAACATAGATGTATTAAGATGTGATGTTAAGAAAATTATTTTCCTATATTAAGCATATAATATCCTACTTATTCTTGGGAGGGGATCTTTGGCTGGATTGTTTTCCAACCTCACTTTCCGTTGAAAGTATTTTCATCTCTGATATGTACAATTTTTATAGTTATTCAACCCAAGTTATCACTGGGTTTCTTTAAAAAAAAAAAGGCATCTAAATATATTAAAAAAATGAGAAGAAATTACCAAATAGGTTTATCTCTACATTAAAGTATTACTAGAAGGAAGATAGAAACAACAGTGTAGGAAAAGCCTCTGGTGATTTGAAACACACTTCAGTTGTCTCTCATAAATTTAAGATTAAGTGTCATATATGGGTGATAAAAGTGGCATAGGCTAGTTTTTATATACTCATTATTCACTTAGTTTGTCTTTTTCAATTAAAGCCAGGTCTATCTTTTTCATTCCACTGAGTTTACATTTCTTTTTCAATCACATACTGAACACATTACAATAGATGCTACCTAACAGTGAATATAGTGTAAATCTCAGACTAATGTGTTATTCACTGTAGCTTCTTTGAAAATGCGTGGTAAAAAGACTTTGATTATTATAAGGTGTTATTTATCAAGAGTCATCTTTTAGAGGGGAAACATGTTCATCTGTATTCTTCAACAACCCAGTTTTCTATCAAAGTAAATCATGGAGCCTACAAAGCCAGTTTTGAAAATTTTGTCAGATGATTGAATTGTAAGACTCAGGACTGTTTCCCTTATTGTCCTATGAGAACTTGTGCTTGTTCATGTCTCTCCCATGTTTAGAAAATCCACAGTTCAACCATAACCTGTAAAAGTGCTATATAATCAAGGAAAGACATTGATTAGAGAATCAATAACTTTTCACTTAGCCATTTTCCAACTTTGGGCATTGATCTACATGTGCCCAGTTTAACTGATTTTCATGTTTTTACCAGTAGGTATTTGGTCAGACTGTACCCCCCTTTTAACAGAGAAGAACAGCTTATTTTTTCTTTTGTTCTGATGTCAGCTTAAAGTTTGGCTGGGATTCTTACCATATTAAGTTTTGTAATAGTACCTTAGTGAATACATAGTAAAACCTGGCCCAATTCATAAAGTAAGGAGGGTGTGGAATTCAGTAAGTAAAGCCATTTGGGGGGTGAGGTGTGATTGGTTTTACACTTATGTTATTGATCTGGAGCTGAGCAAATGGTAGGTGGATTCAGTCTAATTCTTGGCCCTCCTGTACAAGTCAGGCCATCACAGAGGCTGTGTGTGTGTGTGTGTGTGTGTGTGTGTGTGTGCACGTGTGTGTGCAGGCAAGCCTTCTCAATGTAATAATTGCGTGGTTGGGAGAGGAGGCAGAAGACATCAGATGCTACCTTTGTGACTGATTTCCAAGCTCCCAGGAAGTCCTATTCCAGGCTGCTTGCTGGTCAAGCATGGTGAGGGCAAGTGGCCAAACCTCAGCTTTCTTCAAGAGTGGGAACCTAGGTACTGAGCTTTGAAAGGGTGGCAGTTTATTTTATTTTATTTTTTTTGTTGTTGTTGTTTGCCAGAATTTAAAAACTGCTCTAACCTTTTGTGGTTTCAAGTTTTTCACTGTGTGACCCATATGGAAGGTGGTAGAAAGCAGTTAGGGTGTCTCTCTCTCTCTCTCTCTCTCTCTCTCTCTATTAGATACCTGTCCTAGCCACTCGGACTATAAGGAAAGATGGAGGAGGTAGGCAGTTTTTCTGGGGGTCCATACCTACAGAAAAAGAAAAAAAGAGGAAATTAGAATGCCATTCCATGGTTTGGTATGTGCTGTGTTTGCCTCTTAGGGGTTGTGCTGGCTTTTGAGAGGTTTCCAACTTAAACTGCTTGAGATTGCTGAGCCAAGACATGATGTCATCTTTTAATTTTGTTTCAGACCTTAACAGTTATCTACAGAGCAGTTGTAAGTCTGATCTTCTGAGGGCCCTCTCCCCCAGATCTTTTCAGTTGTACCAAGAGATAAGGTTTATTCTTGGCAGTGTTAAGGTGTAAAAGGAAGAAAAATCACCACCACATTTACAGTCTCTGGGATGACTTTTTCCTTGGTGATGACTCGGGGGCAGAGGCTGATGGAGACGAGCCTGATTCTGGGGTTAAATGCCAGCAGCGCTGACCCGCAGTCTGCGTGGCTGCGGGCGGGGTGGTGCAGCGTTGGGGCTCCCTGGAACTGTGCTTTCTCGGCGCGGGCCTGGCGGGTCCCCAAGCTTGGATGAGTGCGTGCGTGACTTGAGATCCCTCCCTCTGAAGAAGAGGAATTCTGACTCGCCAGAGAGGCTGGGGAGGAGGCAGGCTGACCTTTTCTTACAATCGAATTACCACTGTTCCCCGAATTACAGGCAGTCTGGAGTCAGTGAAATCTACATATCAACCGAGTGACACGACCCCTAAAGGAAGGTAGAAGAGGGCTAACGCGCTTGCTAGTTTACCGTTTTGCAGGGCTACTCAGAGCACAATAAAAAGCTTCAAATCTCTTCAACTAGCCAGAGGAGCGCTTGATTCGTCCAGGACTTTTATTGCCCGCTTTTGAAATATTACCCTGGCTCTGAGCTACAAAGCCGCAGATCCAGTTCCATTTGTCTGGCGAGGGCGCCGCCCCAAACCCGTGCTCCCTGCTCACAGCTCCAAGGATGGGAACTTCGGGGGTTTAACACTCCCAAGTGTCGAGTGTTCGAGGACCGCGGAGCGGAAGTGTCTCCCACGAAAGCCCGGAGTAACATCTGAGCGCTCGCCCAGTCTTTGCGCCGGGCGAGCAGGGTCCCTGCTTTGCGCAGGGACGCGGCGGAAGGGTCCCTCGCGCATCCAGAGGGTGTCGGTGCCTGGGAGAGGCTGGTTTTGTTCAATTCGAAAATAAATGGGCACAGTGTGGATTTTAAGAAATAGCCCAGATATCAAAAACTTCAAAACCGACGGAATCTGTGGGCACCAACAAACTAAGATTTCAGGAATCAATTCCACTTTCAAGTTCCTAACTTATTTGTTAAAAAAGAAAAAACACAAGAAAACAGCAAAAACGGTTCTTACACTCTTCTTCTCTCCTTGGGAAATAATGTATTAAAAAATCAGTGTTTATTAAATCTTTTTAGTTGCCTTAAACCCCTTTTCTGGGATTAGTTTAAGAATACATCAAGATTACTCTAAAACTATAGATGTTTTCCCTTGCCAGATCTCGGAATCTTCTCCCCCTCAACAAACAAATAACACGGTTCTCCTAGCAGTCTCACACTCTTTCAACAAATATTTCCTCATAAAATAGCATGGGTCAGAATTTTAAAAATATTTTTTGGGAGGGTTAGGAAACCCTGTATAGAGCATTACAGCTTTTTCTGTTTTCTGAGTTTTTATAGAACTGAAACGACCTTTGAAAGAAATAACTCTTGGGCTGTAATTCCTTCTGCTATTGCTTCCGGAGATAGAAAATAGATCCTGTTTGTTTAAATTTGGATTGTGTAATGAAAATGTAAAATAGGCAATTAAATACTTGTGGATGAGGGAATTAAAGACAGACACTGAGTGAAAGTAACATTAAGCAGACTATTCTCCAGTCTTTGTGCCAGAGACTCTCAAGTATTGAGTCCGGTTGGATGAAAGAATCAGCAGTAGACGTGCTACTTCTTCCCTTATTCCACTTTTTGAGTAGGTGTACTGTCACTGTGAGAAGCCAGTGATCGTCTCCATTTCAGCTAATGTCTGAATGCCCAAAGGTTGCTCGTTTCCCTGGCTACAAAATTTAAAGAGTTTAAAGGAGAGTGCTTTTGTGTGTGTGTGTGTGTTTTTAAGTACGTTTCATTATTTTAAACTCACTTTAGAATTCTGGCTCTAATTTGCACTGGTTATGGATTATGTCTATATATTCTCCTCTTCAAAATATGGACAGCTTAAGTAAAGAGAAGCTGTGGCATTTTGCTTTTATTTCGTTTTGATCCTTACGTGTAATATTAGTCAGTAATGGACTGTGAACCAGAAAGCTATTTAAAAAAATTATTCCAAGATTAAATTTTAATTCTTTCACTTGTCATATTGATTTAGTGAAAAATGATCATTATACATTTATTATGAATGTTTGGGATAACAGTTTAATCACCTTTGCTTATTGGATGAAGATACTATTGTAATGAAGAATTTAAAATCGATTACAACATTCTATCTCAAATACTGGGTTTTAAATTGTTAATTATAAGTACAGTTGAAAGAGTATTGTAGTGCTTTGAATTAATTACATATACTATTATATGCTGTGATACTGTCTTTTTATCAGTGTGAGTTAGGGGACAAAGTAGTTAAATAAAAAGAAAGTAAAACATACATCTCTTCAATATGAAATATGGATGGTTTGCACTCATACCTACTTTAAAAATTTTTAATGGTATCCTTTATATTAGATATCTCAAAGTAAGATTTGAACATCTGAATATAAAATTAACTTAAAGTTGCACAATGGTTCATAAACAATATGAATGGGGCTATTATAAAGTCAAACCAGTAAAGACTAGTTGGAATTTTGTACCAGAAAGCAGAATAATTTACAAGTTTATTAAATTTTAAGTGGAAATGTTATATGAAACCATGGAAATCTTATTTCTTGGTTACTATATTTTTAAATAGTGTATGAATCTACTTTTGCCACTTTTTCCTTTATTTAAAGAAATATTTCCAGGTGGTAATACCCAGGCAGAAAGCAAGAACACACAAAACCACATAGCAGACTTTTTTTTTTTTGAAGGTGGCTGGTAGAATGGATGGGCCAGGTAGGAAGGAAGAGGGTTTGATTTGGAATCTTGGCTAGAAGAAAGGATTTATTTTTCCTTTAAAACATTAAATATTGCACATACCTGAAAATGGATTGCACTGGAAAAAACAGGCCCTTGCCAGAGACATTAGCTTATATTGATATAATATTGTGAATGACCCGTTTATACAGGAGCTTACAAAATACTACAAAATGATAGTAACACATGCATAAAAGCTCTGTGCTTGCTTTTATATGAGAGAATTTGTTTTATGGGGCACCATACTTTATTAAAACTTGTGAGCTTCTCTTTGGTTTAATGATGCCAAACATCTAAGTAGCATTTGCTGTGCTAAGCGTAAGTAGAGCATACAAATTTTATTAGCTAAGTGGTGAGCAGATTTGTCCAACTTAGTATTTGAAACATATTTCAACTGTTATGCTTTGGATTGATAAATAACTGTAACAAATTGTACAGAGATTAACACTTATGGGTAGAAACAATCATTGTCTTATTTGTCTTCACAAAAAATGATTCTTTCCTATAATTTGTATCCCGTTTCTTATGTGTCATGGTTTAGATGTTGAAACATTTGTGGCAGACACACTGAGAGGGGAAAATTTATCCAAGAAAGCAAAGGAAAAGAGAGAATCCCTTATTAAGAAGATAAAAGATGTAAAGTCTATGTAAGTCACTTACTCGCTGTTTTTTATTTCTTACTTAGAAGCAGCTTCGTAGTTAACATTTTAATAAAGAATTATCTTGGAATTACCTTTCTTTATGTCCTAATTGATTGGTGTTAAATATTTTAAAGGACAAAATATATGTCCTCCATGATAGTTTTTAAAAACTGACACACTTATCATATTATCTTTTTTTAAGGTTCCTTGATTATATATTTTTTCTAAGCATTCTAGTAAAATCCAACTGTTTATTTTAATTATTGAAGATATATTTGGTTTAAATAATAGGACAAAGGTAGGTTGAGAATTTTAATATAAATACCTCTAGATATGGAAATGAATAAATATAATGTATATCATGGATACTAAAGATTTTAATTCTACGACTGTATCTTGGGTCTTTATACTTTTGTTATAAATCCATAAGGCTTTGGAATTGTCATTTCAAGATAGGAAGTGCTTTTTTCTCTAAACGTGTCTTTATGATACATATTTTAAAATAGGTGTGAATTATTGCCAATGAATAAACCTTGTTTTGATTTGTCAACCCTCATTTTAAAATATAATATTCTTGCTTTATTTTCCAGCTATCTTCAGGACTTTCAAGACAAAGGTAAATTCTTAAGTTTGTCCACCCTGAAATTTTTTATCCCTGTGGAGATGTTCAATAGGGTAATCTAAAACATCCTGAAATTTGATAGTTGGGATCAAAATTTAAATTTCCATATTGTATGCTTAGACTTTCAACATGAGAGTGCTAGCTCCCCCTGCTGAGAAAAAAATTAAAAAGCATATCCAGAATCTAGTCTGCACAGTCTCCTAATGCCGAAATCTTATGTATTTAATATTCTTAGGTGATTTAATGTTTTTTCACATTGTGGCAGAACTTTGTTAAGAGAAGTATGAACTTGCAGGTACACATGGAATAATCTGGTAGAGAAGAGGTGAGGCACTAAGCTAACACCATTTAACCCAGCAGAGATGATTTTATAGCTGTGATGGGATCAGGAGGGCCTGTGGCTCAGCTGCTCATAGGTAATGTTTTTAAAGAGTGACTGTCTTAAAACAGTATCAGTTTTTGTTTGAAAGGATGAGTAAAATCTTTTTCAAGTGCTTGTTTTTATTATTGTGATTCTTTTAGTATCAATAAATGTATGCTATAGAAGTTTTCAGAGAAGGGGTTGAACTTAATTTTTTCACACTATGTGAGAGTGCTGTAACCTGATTGACTTCCTTTAGATTTGGGGGATGGTTGCTTAACGTATTGAAAACCAAATCAGGAGGGGCATAGGAAGTTCCTACTCCTTCACGTCTTCAGTTCTATAAGGGAAACTGGGTATGGCCCTCACTTCCAGGATGCTAATTCATAGGTCATGACCTGGAGCCTGTGGATGCTGGGATGAGGGTCACAACATGAGGTCAGCTAACCAATGGGGAGTTAGGATCTGGGTTTAGGAAAAACAGTATGGCATCTTCAAACTGGGGTTAACAGATACCACCGAGTAATTCCTATCTCTACCAACTGATAAGTGAGAAAATAATAACAGTTTCCATAAATGAAGTACTTCACCAGGCAGACTAAATCCAAACAGTTATAAGGAAGCCATAGTTTCTTTTCTTTTCTTTTCCTTTTTTTTTAAAAAAAAGATTTTATTTATTTATTTGGCAGACAGAGATCATGATTAGGCAGAGAGGCAGGCAGAGAGAGAGAGGAGGAAGCAGGCTTCCTGCTGAGCAGAGAGCCCGATGTGGGGCTCAATCCCAGGACCTTGGGATCATGACCTGAGCCGAAGGCAGAGGCTTTAACCCACTGAGCCACCCAGGCGCCCCCATAGTTTCTTTTTGCATTAAATCATCAAGATCGATGTGATTGGAGGGAATGAGATTTTTTTTTTTCATATGGAAAATTTTAACACTACCAAAGAGAAGAGCAGGAAACTCTTCTTCCCCACAAATACCCACTTCTTTGTACTTGACATCCAGTCCTGAACTGTGGGTTTAATCATCTGCATTTTGCTTAGTTGAATATAGAAATAATGAGTTTATGTGTTCTTATTGTAACATTTATACAGCACTGTTCATAGAGGAATACTAGATTTCAGGTTCTGTCTTAAAAGACATACTCTGTTCCAGTGATAATTTATCAAACTCTCATTGTGACTTAATTACTAGTACATTTAAAAATTTTAAGCTAAGAAAGCGTAATAATGAAGTCATTGTATAACTATATGATTCAATAATTGGGTAGGAACTTTGCCTTTGGTATTCTGGTTTATGACTTGTTCAGATGTGTAGATATTAAAATTATTTTGCTGAGATACAGTCTTTGCCTCTAAAGAGAATGGAAATTGCTAGTATTTGATAGAAAGTGAAAAATGAGCCTAGAATAGGAGTTCAAACATCACAGAATTCAGAGATTCCCCATAACCATCTTTCTCGGAATAAGCCATTTGAGTTCACTACTCCTGTGTTGAGTTAACTAATCACCAAGAGTGACTGCTTAAAAGTAAGCCTATAGTTAAATTAGGTATATACCTTGGAGAAATATGAGAAGCTGAATAATTTTGTGCCATTATACCCTCAAAATATATTCAGCTTTATTCTAAAAAAAAAAAAATTCCTGTAGTTAGGAGTAGCAAAGTTAGTACAGATTTCATAGTTACAAAGTAATTATTCAAGATACTTTTTTTTAAAAAATAGGAAATTAGTAATGATCAGATCTCTACATTGAGTAAATTCACCTAAGTATGTTTTGATAGTGCTGCTTTTCTTTTTCTTCTTACATTTTCTCTTTGGGGTTTTGGGTTGTCTTCATCCAAGCAGACCTGGGCAGAATTCCTTTTGGCTGTTTTCCTGCTCTTTCTCTTTTTCTCTCTCCCTCTCTCTTTCCCCCTCAGGTCAATATGGGGTCACAATGAAGTAAACAGAGGATGTTTTCCTCCTTTTTACTTTTATATTCCTATTTCACCTATTTTATCTTTTTACAATGGCAGTTAAATATGATTTTAATATCATTAATGGAAGAAAAGAGGACCAAGTGAAGTGTTCTTAAGTAAAATGAATTAATTCAGTTATTACTTTCTAATTAGTGGATTAATTCTTTGCCTAATGTACATGGATGTTTATCATCCTTCCTTACTCCGTATCTTCTCCCTCCCCTTACACCGTAGGTACTACCCCATCATCCTGAGATTTAACAATATAGAATTTATAGTTTGTTGTTCTTAGGTTCTTGAAATGAGTTGAACTGATACAGTTGTTGAAACACCGAGCTGCATAGATCTTAGAGGATTTTTAAAAAGTATTTCCTTTTTTTTTTTTTTTTTTTTGGTGAGAACAGTTTGAACTTGTAGAAACTTATTTTATTACAGTAACTCCTAGATATTGAAGCTTGTTCATTAAGTTAATTTTCTGTTTGCTGTTAACAGTCATTTTCAGTTGCTGTCTGAAAATTTCCCTTTTATTTCTTTAATTTATTAAGGATTCTTGATTATGTCTCCTCCTATACTCAAGTCTAGATCTGACTTGTGACTGTGACTTTAAATAAAGGACTTGTGACTTTATTCTAAACTGTGACTTTAGAATAAATTATCAGTGGACTTTCTAAATTCCTTAATTTTACTTGTGTATAGGAAAGATTTGAATCTAAGGAACTAGAACCTATCTTGCTTAGTCTGGTCCCTGTTCCTTATTTGAAATTTTGCCCATTCTATCTAGAATAGAGAGCTTTTTTTTTTTTTTTGAAGATTTTATTTATTTATGTATTTGTGGAAGAGAGAGTGTGTGCATGAGCGAGGGGAGGAGTAGAAGGAGAGGGAGAGAGAATCTTTTCTGAGGATTTTATTTATTTATTTAGAAGGGGGTGGTTATGGGGCAGAGGCAGGGGGAGAAAGAGAATCTCAAGCTGATTCCAGGCTGAGCATGGAGTCCAACTCAGGGCTTGATCTCATGACCTTTAGATCATGACCTGAGCCAAAAATCAAGAGTCAGACACTTAACTGACTGAGCTACCCAGATGCCTCAGAGAGAGCTCCTTATATCCTTCAAATATTGTGCATGATGAGGTAATTTTCCCTAGTTTCCTATTCTTGGTTGCAATATAGCCTAATAGTATTGAGTGTACTCCTGAATTTAGGCTTCATGCACTAACATTAAGCTACTTTTAGAATTATTTTAGAATAATTACGGTTATTTTAGAATTTGTTACTGTCGTATGACATGGTCATAAGTCCCTTAAACGTGACCTGAAGTAATTATTTTTCTAATGAAAATATATTACTAATTGAGTAAAGACTGTTACTGAGTATAAGACAGAATTTTCTGATATCCATTAGATATATGATAAAAAAGTTTTACTTGTATCTTGCCCTTATATTAGTCTTTTTTTTTACTCCAGTGTAATTTAGGTTTGATTAGTTTCTTTATAGAATGATTAAAATAATGTGAAGATACCCATGCATGACATATATGTCTACTGACATTCAATAAATAGTATATTTATGTGTATTCTCAGATTCATCTTCATTTATCAAGAGGATTTAAGTAAATCTTGATTTACAATTCAGTTTTCAAATAATTTTTGAGGAATTTATGAATTGTTGAAAGAAGGACATATTAACACGAGACAAATATTTCAAGAGAATATTTTCAGATTTGTAAAATATTAGTGTCTATAGCTTAAAAATGTGACTGTATTGTTTTCAGTTCCCTTTAGATGCCGTACCTAAAAAGCTCCCATTTTCTTCTTTAAAATATTTTCCATCTAATTAAAAAAATATGTAATTGATTTTGTCCTTGAGACTTCATTGATATTGTTAAATATACATAGATTTACTTAGTAACTTCCTTTGACCTCATTTGTGTTACTAAGTTTATTAATGGACTAAAGTGCTTTTTTAAAAATAGCTGGACTGTTAGGTAAGAAGGGATTCATTTTAGTTTGTTCTGATGGAATCCTTAAGAGCACAGAAAAGTCAAAAGTTCGGATGATGTTTAATTTCGTTTCCTTTATCCTTTTAAATAAATTATATGTTTGGTTGAAAGTTATCCCACCAATGGAATCTGAGCAAATAACTTGAACTTCCTCCCTGCCCCCCACCCATCTCTGGCCTTGTACAAATGTGTTAAGTATGTCTGAAATTATGGGGCCTATAGTAGTAAAAGTATATTTCAGAGGTAGTGCTTGAGAAATGATACCCTTATTTTAAAGCTCTGCCTCACGCATGCTCGCTGTTAAGCCTTCTGATTGCAGATGAGTTATGAACAGAATCTCCTTCTTTGTGGTGACCCAAATCCTTCAAAGTCTGAAGAATTAAACTACAGATTCCCATAAGATGGGAAATGCTTAATTCTGTCAATTTAGTTGTATGCTATTACTTGAGAAATTAATTTGGACAAGTGAATGGAGTAGAGAATTAGAAAGTAATTTGTTTTCACTCAAGTCCTTTTTATCCTCAAGTTCGCCTTTCATGCTCTAAAGGGGGAATGACTATCACCTCAGTTTAAGGTGTATTATTTAGTTTAATGTTTACCCGATTGTGTTTCAGATGTGTTTGACAAAACAAGCCGTAAATTGGTTCCGTCACCTTCCGCAGTGGTAGAGATCATGACTGTCAGCTGTTGGGGGCTTCGTCTCCAGGCATTTAGGAAAATGTTAATTGATGATGAACAATATAATAAGGAAGGGATAATAGTGATTTGAACTCAACTATTATAAACTTAAAAATGTTTATCAGAGAAATATGCTGCTGTGGGTAGGATTCAGCTTTGATTTTTGACATGATATTTAAGTTGCCACTGAAATTACAGGAAGGGAAGTCTTGGATCATTGTCTTTTAGACTGTTAACTTTGTATCGTTAATTAAACTTTTAAAAGTTGTGGGATAAATCAAATGGTTTTCTAGGGAAACAAGAAACAGTATTAATGAGCAACAACCCCATAATTATCCTTGTGAGTACATAACAGGGACACATTCATGTCTTTTCTTTGCACAATAACTTTTACAAAGAAGTATTTTTAAACTGATCATTAATTTTATGACCACAGAAATGAGATGCAAAATTTATGCTGTTGTCATTGGCACAGGCTCAAGGCACCGCTGACATTATGTGTGATTGTAATAGAATGGCTGCCAGCTAATGATTCTGTAGACATTTCATTTGAGCATGCTTTTCTTTTAGATGTCTGATTAGGCTGTAATGCTTTCAATTATGTCTGTAAATTGTATTGGATACGTTTACCTGATGCCCATTGTTGCTTTGGAGTTCAGTTTTCTATTACATAAACACAAGTTGAACATTTACCTTTTAATTTATAGAAGTCTTTGCAGCTATAGCTACAAAGACTCAGCCCCTGGGGAGGAGGAAAAAAAAAAAAAGCTTTGCACTACTCAACAGCGACCCCTGTGTTCAATTAAAGGTCCTTATAATACAGCTCTTTATTGGGTTGAAAAAAGAAATAATTGGGAAGGAGGAAAAGGGATGGATCATCCCTGGAACAGCAGTAAAATGAAGAAGAACATTTTGAAAAATGATGTGTCATTTCAACTTAATGTGGGTTGAAAAGGGAATAACCCTATATAGATACCGCAGAGATTAAAAAATTTTTTTTCTTTTACTTTCTGGGTTAATTCAAGGGAGCTTAAAAAAGGGGGAACAGGAGGGGAGGGGGAAGAAGCCAGTAGCAGTATTTAATTTATTTTGTTTTAGATAAATATAAATTACCACATTAATTACAAAAAACATTTGAAATGAGCTGCAGTACTTAGAATGATAAGCTGAAGACAATTTCACTTAAATGATAGAAATGTATTTTTTTTTAAACACAAAATCCAGAAGACTCTAACATGTTAGTAACCAATTTGTATAAAAATATTCTTAGCTTACAAATATTATATTTAGCTTTAATAATGATCTTTTTGCTGTGTGCATACATATATAAATATAGATTGGTGTGTGCATGTGTGTATGTGTATATACATGGATACACACATAAAAACATATAATGGATATTATCAAAAGATGACAAATCCTGATTTTCAAAACTTCTTAACTTTTAATTTTTTCCTTTGTATTTCCATATGGAGCTTAATAGATTTAAACCTGAGCATCTGAATCTTTTTCAAAATCATTTCCATGTGTTCCTTGGTTTTACTCTTATATTTTTATATTCATGATAGTATAAAATGCTATGTGCCAAGTTAGGGAAATATATTTGAGGTATCCTGATACTTTATTTTTTCATAGCAAGATATTTTATAGTTCATGATATGAAATATCCTTAGCAAATCCATACCATAGCTTCCATACCATACCATACCATACCATACCATCTTACTTTATTGAGAATATAAGGATACTTCAGCAACTAAGAGCAATTGAGGATTTTGTGATCTTTACTACTGTATATCCCACGAACTGTCATTCCATGTCTGAACATAGTTTTCCTAGCACTTAATGAGGTTCTCTCTTATCTCATATTTGAAATCAGAGCATGCTGCTTTCCATAAGAGAAATACTGTAAAGGATCACTGAATATTCCCAAAAGTATTTAAGTATTTTGAACATTTTAGTTTTCTTCTTCTTCTTCTGTTTTAAAATAATTTATTTGAGAGAGAGAGAGAGGGAGAGAGAGCCAGGGAGAGCACGAGTCAGGGGAGGGGCAAAGGGGGAAGCATTCTCCCCACTGAGCAAGGAGCCAATGCGATGTGGGTCTCGATCCCAGGACCCTGAGGTCATGACCTGAGCCAAAGGCAGATGCTTAACCAACTGAGCCACCCAGGCTTCCTACTTTGACCATTTTGTTTTGTTTTGTTTTGTTTTATTTATTTGACAGATAGAGATCACAAGTAGGCAGAGAGGCAGGCAGAGAGGCAGGCAGAGAGAGAGGAGGAAGCAGGCTCCCTGCTGAGCAGAGAGTCCGATGCGGGGCTCAATCCCAGGACCCTGAGATCATGACCTGAGCTGAAGGCAGAGGCTTAACCCACTGAGCCACCCAGGCGCCCCTACTTTGAACATTTTAAAAGAAAAGAAATTAAGATGTAAAGAATGAATAGTGTTTACATGTATTCCTTGGAGTTTTATTTGGGGAGGAAACATCCACATATGACATACCTGGCGGTAGAATCACCAAGGACAGTAAGATAGTCCTCTGTGCTCTGCTCTTACTGCCTTGATGGGAGATAGCCCTATCTTTTTTAGGATAAGGATGATGGATGCTGACGAAATGCCAAAATTATAAAGAAATAGAGTTGAGTATTGATTTTTCTTTATTATTTTGACAGTGTTTTGAAAGGGGCTTTTCCTCTACCAAAAATAATGGTAAAAATTAGGGTGCGATGTCAGAAGATACAGATTTTGTTTTGCAGAGAATGGTAGCTTTAATCTGGGTCTGCTCAGCAACCATGGTCTTAAAGTAATAGTGTAGGTTCTCTCAGATTCCCATGGAGGTTTTCATTCTGCTTTTTGGGTACTCCCTGAGGTAGCTGGTTTTCTCTTGAATTAACAGATAATTGATACAGTATTAAGGATACATTATTTTGAATTTTATTGAATTTCCTTTGGATGTGGTTGAATATGGTTGAAAAAATGAGTGCTTATATGTGACCAAGCTAGCAAATATCTGACACTCTCTTTTAAAAAAAATTATTCTAAATGAGTATGTGGAAAAAACCCAAACCACAATAAGATTTTATTGTGGGGATTAAATAACTTCAAACCAAGCAACCAACCAACCTAGGATTTGGAAATCATGTAAAAACTGGCTAGAACATTAAAAAAAAAGAATGACAACATATTACTGAATGAAAATTGAAGGTGTCAGGTTGTAAATCACTTTGTTTGAACTTAAAAGGGTTATATGAGTTTTAAAGTAGTTTTTCCCATGAAGGATTCCTGCTCTTGAAAATGTAACTGAGTATTTTTAATTTACTCTAATGTAACCCTGTGATGTTTCATGAAAACCTAAAATGTGCATGTGGCTTTGAATTATCAATTTCTCATCATAATTTTTCAAATTATTGAGTAGGTAAATGGAATTAACTTGAATTACTTTCTCTGTTGTGCTCCACCCCCCCTTTTTTTTGGTTATTATTTTGGTTCTTTTTCTTTTTTGTTTGTTTTGGGTACACACTCTTGTTTTACCCTGCTTCTACTTTTTTTGTATTCATCTTTGTAGAGACCATCATAATTTTGGAACTTGTATACTTTTGTATCAGAAATAAACAGTTGTCCACTGACTTCCAGAAACTATTTAAGTTACAGTAGATATAAATTAAAATAGGACCTGTTTTTACTCTGTTTTTCCATGGCAGTGACTAGGTTTAAGAGTGAAATTTACCTCTCTTGACAAAGTAACATATTTTAAAGATGGCTGACCTATATAAAAGGCTTTTCTCCGATTCTTCTGTAGGTGATGCAGAAGATGGGGAAGAATATGATGACCCTTTTGCTGGACCTCCAGACACTGTATCCCTAGCCTCTGAAAGATATGATAAAGATGATGAAGCTCACTCTGAAGGTATGTGTTGTTTTGCCATCGAATATACCTCTAGATGTTCCAACACAAGACAATGCAGTGCGTAGAGGTGGTGGTCTTGTCATAAAGCAGGAAATGTGGAGGCTTCAGTTAACTTACCTTTACCAGAATCTTTTAAGGAACAGAAGAGCTCTCTCTAGTGGTTTTCTTAAGTATGTAGTTCCTTCTTTTCCTAGGAAATTTTCTTGACTAGAATTTTTAAGAGAGTGTTTACATCACGGTGTGAATATTATTAGTGAGTTTGTTGGTTAATTTAATATTATTAGATTCTTGCTTAATTTTATTGTGCTGTTGAATGGCTTCTTGTATTATTTATTTTATAAATAATGAAAAAGATTTTTGATCTCTTTTTTTGAAAACATATGAGTTCATAAAATATTAAATTAATTATTCTTACATTGCCTTCTCACATTAAGACAGGTTTTCATCAAATGCTTCTTTTAATACACATTCTCATTTTCCTGATTGTCACCTAAAGATAGCCCACATTATGCAGTAATATTATTTTTTTATAATGTTCCGTATTAATTGAATGAGTAATAAAGTCAATTGTTTATCTCTTCGTAATTTTTAAAAACTCGCCCAACTTATGAAACTTGCTTTTAGTGTAGCACGTGCTTTCTCTGTTCTAGCCAGTTGAGTGTATCTGCATCCTAGAGACCTTATAAGGGTGATATATGGTTATAAATTAAGAATGTGTATCGATAAATTAGCCATGCATATTAATTTGTGGCACTCCAAGTTTCACGGAGACACAGAAGTGAATAATGCCTTCTGCCACTGTGTGATGATCAAACTGTGCAGTTCCATCTCTAAATACAATTGCTGAATGAAAATATGCTTCCTGCAACAGAGCACTCCACATTTTATGTTATCCAGATTATTCCCTTTGGAAACATAAATTGCTTTTATGAGGTATAAAATTATGTCTATTGCAGAACAGGGATAAGTCAAGTACATGCATAAGTGATAAACATTCTAACCACTGATTCAGAACAACACAATCTTTTTTTTATATTCAGAACTTTGTACAATGTGTAGCAATAATAATCATATCCATTTTATGTTGAATTTCACATTTTGGCAAACATTTAATTTCTGTTTTTAAAGGAAGAGATTTCTTTCTCTCATATTCCCTATTTTTTTAAAAAGATGCACATTTCTCTTTGGTCACGGTTCTTGTCTGAAACAGAGCGTTACCCTTTCTAACCTGGTCTTCAAAGCATTTCTACTAGAAAATATTTTATAATTGATGAAATAATATTTTCAGGCAAAACAGTGAATTATTATTTGAGTTGAACTGGTTTTCAGACACATTACAATGATTTGTTTTGCTCCGCTGTTAAGTTGTTGGTAGATAGAAATGAGTAGGTGGGTATATGTATACATGTACAGAGAATATGTATATGTAAGAGAAAATACACGCACACACACATAATGTTCATAGAGTATATATGCTCAAAGTTTTAAAAAGTAGCTTAAGTAATTTGAAGTACGAGGGAGCATTATTTACATTCTTTAAGAAATGGTAACCTAAGAACTCCAACAATTAAATATCTATGAGAGCCAGTGTTTTGGTAGAAAAAGTGAGTTGTTATTAAGTTATAATGCATTTATGTAATTATCATATTTTCTTAATTATGAGTAAATAACTTATCATGTTTGTTTTCATAACCAAATATATAGGAAATACATTACTAGCAAGAAAAAGATTTATTGTTAAAAGATTATATAATCAGTATTTGAATATTATTTAAAAACTTATATTTATGTATAGCATTAAGTTTTTTTGTTAAATATAGGTGCATTTTCATTAGTGTTGATATAAGCAGTTCTTACGCAGATTGAAAATTTAACTTTTAGTATCACTCATTTTTGGTATATAAAAATACCGTATATGATAGTTTTATTTTTTCTCCTAAGAATATTATAAATTAATTTTAAAACTACCACTTGGATTTTTAATTTCCGCTCTGAAATGTCATCTAGTCATATCAGTCTCTCTCCCTTCAACTTAGATTTGAAATGCATTTTCTTTCCCTTGCCAAATAAATTTTCCTTCATTATGGGACCTCAGTCTAAGATATATTAATTATAAAAAGATAATGCATTTAACAATAAGTATAACTAAATTAGCTCAGGTCACCAAAAGGCCTTTTGTCAAGTCAGATTGTTATTTTGTCCTTTTGACTTTTACCTTATGGTAGGCACTAACTAAGTATCTGAACTTTGATGGATTATAAACTCTAAACATGATATGTATTTTTCATAATGCTAATGTAATTTTCAAGGTACTGAAAAGGTCAAACCTGCACATCTTTGTGTGCATTCTAAGTCTGTCTTTTCCTTTAATATTTCTTTTTCTCTGTTCCTCTGGTTCAAAAGTTCACTCAGTTCCCAAATGGCTACCTAATTTTCCAGTTATTCCCTCAAGCCATATGTGTTTTGGTTTCTTTATGGTTTATTAGGTACTGTAGGAAAGTAGCATAAGTTATATCTTCTAATGAAATTCAAGCACACTTCAGTGATGCTTCGACTTGATTGCTGGTAGCAATTAAATCACAGCCAAGGAGAATAATGCATAATCTCACAAGGTCCAGACACCCTATAGAAATTGAAAGGGGATGAAAACAGAAAACAAAAACAAAGTCTTCAAACCCTGCCAGACACACTGTTTCCAGCCTGCCTTTTTTTTTTTTATTGGCCAACTGCCTGATTGATAGCAAAATCATAACTTGCTGCATGCTAACAGGCAGAGTTCACTTGTAGGTTATTGTGAGCTGATAAAGGGTTAGATGGAGTTTTGATTTTCGCATTGGACCTTGGTACACCAGATTAATGGAATTTCAATGAGAGACTAGAGTAGCCACAGCTTTGTCAGAGAAACAGATGGAGACTCTATAGTCATGTCTACTCATTAATACTAGTTGCCTGAAAGGTGTGCTGCTTCTCTATACAAAAGAGTTGATATAATTGATTTTTGAGTGGCGCATCAAAAAAAAGTCCTTATTGATGACTAGAATTGTAACATGGATGGTGACAGATTTTTGTATAGCTTATAGCATAAAAAATATTGTAGTTTGTCATTTTTTCTTCTCTCTCTTTGGAAGTGCTTTTTATTTTTATTTTTTGAGGGGAAATACACTTTAAGGCAATAGTAAAAGAGGAGAGAGAAACATGCTGAATTAGCTTTTAAGAAAAACAGTAAGAATCTGTATTTTGTTTATGCATAATTGCATGACTGCTGTTGGTTTCATTTTGGTGTGGTAATATTTATAAAATCCATACTTACTGGAAATTTCTATTTTATTAACTTTGTGCCTTATTTTTTCTGGGAAATTTAAAACAAATCACAATGGTTTCCAGACTAGATCTCTGTTAGAAGTTTTATTGTATTGTGTGGCTGGATATATGGAAATGTTAATATAAGTGGTGTATGTCAATAATCAGATAAAATTAGAGAAAATGAAACTCAAACCTTAAAGAAGACTATCCCTTATTGTACGTATGTTAGAATGCTTGCTTGGGCACTAAGGTGGGAGAGGCAGGGTAGCCTTTAGACACTATATAATGACTTGGGTTCCCATTTTTCTATTCTGAAACCATTTTTCATTCATTTTCGTCATTTGTGAAAGAAGGCTTCTAACCATATAGCATTGTGGGAAGTCCCTGAGGTAAGGTGAACAGATTCGATGAGCTAGAAGACATATATCGGCTCTACCCGTCGATGATAGGTCGAAGAATCCCAGTGGACATTTGTTACAAATCTGATTCAGTCCTAAACCATAATCACTTTGTGGATAAGAATCTGGAACCTCTAGGGTGTGAATATAGGAAGGTTAAAATGAAGCTGAAGATATAACACAGTCATTTATTGTCCTGGTATCTTCTTAACTAAAAATTCCCAAGTATAGGTTCCTGAAGACTGTAGGCATTGCAAGGACGTAGGTTTATATGAAAAAAAAAATCTTGGTTTAGAAATGGAATTACTTTTTTAAAGCTGAGGATTAAGGAAAAGGACTAAGCTGTCTTGATTATAATTTATAAGAGTAAATAATGATTTTTTTCTTTTTTGGTGTACCTTTCTTTAAGAAAGTCTAGCATATGAAAATTGAGGTTCAAAAAACATACAGATCACTTATTTCAGAGGATTGCTTTAAAAAAGATTATCTCTGGGTTGCCTGTAAATAATGAGCTATCACAATGCATCTAAAACAAGCTTAGATATAAAAAACAAGCTTAGATATAAATCCATTGATGTGCACACACATACATTTAATGTGTAAATTTCTACACATTGCACACCAAAATTTGAGGAAGATATCTTTTTGGGTAAAATTAGGTTTAGCACTAATCTGTTCTTATAAAAGCCACACAATAGATGCTTTACTTTTCTCTGGATTCTAGTAGAATATGAAACATTGTTTAAAACCAGGGGAAAAAAGGTTCCTTCAGTAACTTACCATTTAGGGTAAGGATTTTTCCTACCATAGTATCATGTGATTTTTGATACTTAAACTCATATTTTTAAATTTTATTCTAAGAATTGAGACTCGTTTGCACACATCTTGGTGTTTATGACATACGTTAGTGTTGCATTTGAGGGTTTTTTTTTTTTAACCTTTTGTTATTTCAACATACCAGTTGCTACCCTGTGTGTATTATAGCAATATAAGAAAGATGATTACTTTAGTCCTTCTGTAATGTATATAGCAAGTTTCAAGTATTTTGGTAGGAGCGCAGGGTTATAATTTGGGGTAATAATAAAAAGGAGGAAACATTTTGAACGTTCAAGATAATATACTGTGTGATTAGAAACATAAAGTACACTGATGTGAAATATTTTCATGATACAAAGGTACATATGAGTAAATAAAAACATAATTATTGAGAATCACCCAAGTTTTATGCCATTGAATGGGAAAATACCTAAAAATAGAACAGTGGAGGCCAATAAGACTATATAACAAAGTAGACTAGAT